ATCCACATAGTTCAAACCTCTCTCAGCTGGGCCTCAGGCCCAGAAGACGTTTGGGCCAGTCTTGGAACTGGTTTACGAGCATTTCTCATAATGGGAGTATGTTTAATTGTTTTTTTAAAAAAAAAAACAGGAACCCTGCAAATATGGTTCCAAAAAGGATACTCTCTGAATTTTTTTTCCTCAGCTTTATGAAAATAAAACAATGGATGTCTTTTTTTTTAAAAAATGAATGTATTCCAATTTTTAAATACTTCCAAGGCAAACAAAAACTTAAAGAACAGATGTTTCAGTGCTTAGATCTGCCTGAGCCCATGGCAGGGAGTTTGCAAATTTCCTTAAACATCTGAGTTCATTTCATAAAGAGGGTGTTTACCTGCCTCTACCTGGAAAAACACCACCATGGCCAGCAGGTGTTCAGCCTCCCTGCAACCGTGGCCCAGAATTTCAAGCAAGTTTGTTCTCCTGAGACTTGACTAGCACCACTCCTGCAAGCCTTCCTCTCACCCAGGGCTAATCCAACCCATGAATGGAACAGAGGCAAAGCAGCTAAAATCCCATCTCCTGACAACCGAGCCACCATTGACATACGTTGGGGGAGCAGTTTTACTGTTTAACAGACAGCAAGGTGGGAACCTCTCTCTCTTTCTACATGACCCAAAATGCTCTCGTTAGGGCACGTTCCTGCTTTCTTGCTTTCCCACTCTATGACTGAAACCATATTGTAATCAAGGTCTGTGCTTGGAATCAGCCACCATAGGAGAGCCTCTGCAGACTCTGTGTGGACAACCAGACAGAACTTTCCTGAATGAAATAAGTCACTTCAGCTCTGCTAAGGGACATTTTAACCTGTTTAACTTCTTTGCATTCCAAAAGATAAGGGTGACCTAAGGCAATGATGGAAACCCTGCCCTAGGAAATAGACCAGGCATTGGCTGGCAAAGCCATGGATGTTCCACACCAAACAGCAATGCTGACAGGTACCTGTGGAGCAGTCAGGCTGCAATTTAGCGGTCGATAGACATAGCCTGACGTGTCCTTCACCACTGGTTGCTTAAGTATGTCTACATAAGAGCCAGGGAAGATGCCTTGGCGACTGGTGCCAAGGATTTTTCCTTCATACCAGTTCTCATCTACTTGTCGAATCAGTGTGATTCTTTCTCCCTGCAGAAAGAGAAGAAACGTTTAGAAGAAAGTTTAAGTTCAAGATCCACACCAAGATTTTGCTTTTGCTACTTAGATATGAAGGCTGTATTTGGTGGGTGATCTGTATTTGCCTGAGGTGCATGTATCTGCTAAAATGGATTTGATGCATCCTTTCTAGTAATCTTTTTTAGGTTATCTGGTTTGCATTTACAGCACCTGAGAAAAGTGCTTAACTTGTTGATCAAAAAATAAAATATAATGAAACATACAGAGACTCCAGTACAATGTGTGTTTCACAAAAGTAGAAAAGAAAAAAAAATGAGAAAGAAGTGATAACATGTATTGATTTTCCATTTTGGTGAAATAATTCAGACTAATTATTACATACCTCAGGGGTGAGGTGATAGGGTGGGTAGACTAGAACTAGATGGCAAACATCTGGAGGGTGGCCCTAAGGGTGGGGGAATTCTCACACGTCCCTCTCTATCTCCTTGAGGGGTGAAAGTAAATGGCACAGAAAGGTGTTTTACATAACTAATCTGTGATTTTCATCATGTGCTGCAATACAAAACTTAACACTGGAAACAAGCCACAAGCAACTAAATGTTTCAGAAAGCGTTACATAAAAACAAGAAAATGTGAAGTTCTTTTGGTTTCCACAATAGCACTAACAAAAGTCAGTCAGACATGTAGTCCATTACCAATAACAGCTCTTTACTGGAACCTCCCCAATGATACATATAATGTTGTATCTTTTCCTTGGAATTCTGGGAATTAGGATTATTGCTAATCCAGTCACAATATAATTTGGTATCAAAACTAGCACAGATGAAAACAGATACCTTATTTAATTCATATGGTCCTTTTTTTATGAGCAATCTAAAATCTAGAGAGTTCCAAAATTCAAGCGTCAAAACAGCCATCATTCTAACATGATCTAGTCCTATTGTTAAAGAAATATAATATGATCCACAAAATGCATGTTAATAATTTCAATAATAGTATTATGCAAGTAATGTAAAAACATTTTGCATAAAAATTTGGATCAGAAATTTGTAGACAGATGTGTGCATGAAAGATGCATTTTAAGACTCTTTTAGACCACTTTTTTATATCTGTCAAACAAATTTCAACTACATAAAAGCATGTAACATAATGTTTAATTTATATTCAGGACGCCAGCCACTAAGGCATTTTCCCTCTTACTTTCTTTCTACTCTTAACTCATGACTGGAATCAGCATGACAGCTAAATAAATCCAGTGTTTAGGTGTTTGCTAAGATTGCCCTGGAACCAACTGCTTGTTTGTTTATCATCTACCTTTTTTTTTTTTTTTGGCCTTCCTTGGAAGTGTCTTGGGATATCTAGCTTTAA